CAGTGCTACGCGTGATTAATCCTCCATTTCATTCATTGTCTTTTTACTTCTCTGCTACTGGGAACAGTAAATAAGAGGGAAGTTGTAACAAGAGCCTCCCTTTTATTCAGAGACCTTCTGTTTCCTGCAGACTGGTGGCTTCGAAAAAAATCACAGCTCCATTGTGCTCCAAAGTCATACTGAATGATTCAGATGAAAAGAAAAACCCACGTCAGAAGGAACAGGGGACTCAAAGACAAGTGTCGAGGCCAGAAGACCAGGGACAGCGATCCCAGGCATCAGCTAATCCTGAGAATGTTGCACCCCGTGACAGCAGCAGCATTATGGTTTATCCCTCTGTGCTGCGGGTCTGTGGAAGACAAGTGCTTCCAAGTGCTTCCAAGAGCAGCACTTCCAAGTGCTGCTCCCGGTATTGAGGGCGTCCCTGGGCATCCCTGGCCCCACGGGACTGGCACCGATTGCCTGGGGGTCGTGGGGCAGTAGGACAACCCTCCTGTCCTACCTGGGCGACGCAGATCCAGCCCCCAGCAGCTGTGGGGAGGTGACCTCGCTCCTTCCTCCTGGAGCAGGGCTGCCAGCGGTGGAGGTCAGGCAGGGCAGGAGGAAGGGGCAGGGTCATCAGCGGCAGGGAGGCAGAGCCCAGGCGCTCCTGTGCGGCAGCAGAGCACGCAGCGATGGAGAGTGTTGCCAGCACCGAACATCTGGTGTGAATGCTCCCCAAAAATAGATCACTTCCTTCTTCCACCTCAAAGGAAACAGTGTTGGAAGGAGACTCAGATACAGCAAGGCTGGTGCAAGGAGGGGTCTCGTTCACTGTCAGCCTCCCACTGGGAGCCGTTTACACATTCCAGGGTGCGACTCTGGGACCAGACATGGGTCTCAGCAGGTTCCAAGGGATTAGTCCTGCAAAACGCCCCGACAAGCCACGTGGGTGCTGAGCCCCTCAGCGCCCCGGAGCAGAAACCCACCAGCACTTCCCATCGGTGGCTGGTATTGCACAGCCAACCCCTCTGTTCCCAAAAGCTGCTCCTGTGCCGAAGGGCTCAGGCTGTGATCAGCCCTCACCTGCATTTTCCAGTACCAGTTTTACATTACAGTGCTGCTTCACAGCATCTTCCTTATTGGCAGGCGTCAGGAGAAATGTGTGTCAACAAATCTGAAGCGAGCGTAAGCGCCGCTACAGTCAAGTCTGATAATAAAACATGAGTCACTGTTATTCAATCATTTACCAGCTCACGTCTTGCAAGAATGTTCTCTCTTCTAGGAGTCACCACCACACAAATTTGAGTTGTTTTAAAGAGCACCCTGGTTTTACTTCTAACTGCGTGGCTGAGTTTTCAGAGGGCTGGTTCCTCCTATCCCTGCTTGCAGCTCACCGCTCCGTGCTCCCTCTGAATCTGCGTTTCAAAGCCAGGCATGAGGCACCCAGCCCTGGCATGCTCCATGACCTGATGCTCTTCCCAGCAGTTTTCAAGCTCAGCGTCTCCCCAACACCAGGAGTGAACTGGCAGCAAGGAGGGGGCTGCTGGGACTGACCCCCCCCAGTTGCTATCAATGCCCCCCACCCCATCGGTAGTGCCGCTGGCCAGTGTTTAGGGGATGTGCATTTTTCCCCGAGATGTGATGAAGAAGACTGTAGTCAACCCCAGCATTTTGGCAAGGGAAACTTTTCCCCAGAAAGGTATTATTTTCATTGTTTTCTTACATTCCAGTTTGGGAAGGAGCAGGAGGGGTCAGGCATGTCTTCCCAGACATTCCTTCCAAACCGTTTTTATCCTTGGTAACAAATGCCCCTGCCAAACACAGCAGCACACGTCCTCGGTTTCCCCTCCGTAAGCCTGATTTTTTGAATGGCTTCTTGGGAAAAAGCATTTACATGCTGACCTCTTGCTGCTGTAAGATGTGCAGGGAGATGGGTCCTTTCCAGGCATTCAAGCTGCCGTGCTTGGTCTTTCCTGTTTTTACTAAGGAACTTTTGGGAGGTCAGAAATAAATGAATTGAGCTTTTGCTGCCTTAATAGGTGAAAGGCTGCTGGAAGCACGTGGATAAACTTCCTCTGTGCCAAATGACCATCATTTAAGTCAAACGCTTTTTAACAATAGAAGCAAAATTTTAAAAGGTGTAGTTAAAAAAACCCCCACATTTGCCTGTCTGTCCTCCTTGCTCCGTGCTGCTCTGCCTCTTGCTGCTTAGCTTGATCTCGAGCACTCCTGCTGCAGGGAAGGCTTGAGCTTCTGATGTGGCAAACAGGTAGACTAAGCTAATTTATCGCTCAAGTCTTTTATTCCATCACAGAGTGGCAAAAGGGAAGGCTCGTCTCTCTTGTGGGTCACCTCTAATAGCAATTGCTTCAGCAAGATGGATTTCAAAATTAGGTGCTCTCGAAGCAGAAGCCACACTGTATTTTTCAACAGCACAAAGCAGCTGTAAGAGGAATCTGACCTTCATTCTTCATAATAAATTCACTGGGGGGAAAAAAAAAATCCATCTTTGTTTTTCAGCTTGAAGTACTGTCAAAAGAAAAGCCAGGGCACACACAACATATACAAAATAAAAATACAAGACAACTTCAGCAAAATTATAAAGAACTCAGAATTTCCTGCTTTTTCTTATTCAAACATTAGAATAGAGTCTGACAGCTTGTCTACAACTACATTGTTTTGGAATAAAGGCTGGTGTTAATTTAAAGTGGATAAACTAGGCTAAATTAAGATCACCTCACCAAAGCAGTTTTCAAATGTAGAGTGCAATCCAGTAGCTATGTCTGGGGAAAAGTTTATCGATACACACCCACATTTAGGCACTCCATTGGACTTAGCACGTTTGTAAAACGTCCCTGAATGTATTTCGGGTGTTAAAATAATGTCTGCTGCAGCCTGCCAAACGAAAATGTCACACAGTTATTTTCTGCTAAAGCGCCCCAAAAAGATGTGATCTGCAGTCAAGTACAGATTCGTAAGCTAAAGAATATAATGGAGGAATGCCTAAAAATATTTGGCATTTTACTGTTATTAATAAAATGATTGGTACATTTGAATCCTAAAAACCTGTAGCTGGTCAGCTGCCACTGGCTCCGCCTGGAAATGGTGAAAATTAATCGTCTCTTGCATTAAACACTATCTTTGTATTTTGCCATGTCTCCGTTACAGACTCTGTATTGAATAACTCATTATAACCCAACACAGCACATTGCCTTTATTCCTTTAATCTCCTGTCAGGCATAGCTGGGAAGGCAGAATGGGACTGTTTATTCTAACCAGCAGGTCTAACCCTTAGGCTAGCAAGAATTAGGAGAGGTTTTTTCCAGGCTTGGCTTGTCCCGCATCCAGAGAACCAAATGCTGTGGCTGCAGTCCGCCTGGCTCCTCTTCTGGACAAGTCACTCAAATCCCACTTTCAAGCAAACCCAGACCCCCAGCTGTTACTCAGCCTTTTCTCCTTCAGGATGGGCTGGTTACACTGATAAAAGCAGCTGAAAAAAGAGGCTCAGTGTCAGCAGTGCCCTAATTAAGCTCCAGAAATCAGCCACTTCACACTCCTTAGTTCAGGTTTCCAGGGGCCAGTTTGCCTGGACAGAAACGTTTTGTTAAATAAGCTCAGCTGTTTTGCTAGAGCTGGTGTGACCACTGAAAGCTCAGCAGAAGGGACGAACATTGTCCATACATTCAGTTAAACCAGCTTAAAACCACAGACTGCATCTAGCATATCTAGGTGGCTGCAACTGCAGTTCCTTTCAGGACCAACTCTAGATAAGCCACCATAAAAATCAGTCTGGCTGCATTTGGCATTCAAGGTATCATAACTCCCATGTATTAACATTCAAGTTCTCTCCAGACCAATCGATTTTTTGTTGTTGTTTAGAACAGCAAAAGCCTTTTCTTTACAACAAGCATTTCTGTGAAGGTTAAAACCCTAGGAGATGCTCTTTGATAGTGATGTCAATGCTGTCAGTTCCCCTGTAGGGAACCACTATCTGAAGAGTCACAATTTCACCGATCATGAGCCCTCTTCTACAGCAAGCACCCACTTTCAAAGATCAAGGGGAGGCAGATTCAAGCTGAAGTGTCAGCAGTAACTGACCTCAGATCAAGTAATCTTGGAGTGGGCAAGTCTGATCCATCAGTGAAGAGACTCAGACAGTTTTGACCAAGCGGATTAATTAACCACTTGCAAGGGAGCACAGCTGTGATCAGCGAGGTCCTTTCCAAGCAACAACCCTCACTCAGCAGCTCTTCTTTAAAAAGAGCAATTAATCTACCTATGGCATTCCTCTTCACCAAAGAACACTTCCACTGTTTCAGGAGTTCTGTAGCAGATGCAAGCGAAGGCTTTGGTCTCGATATCCATGTGCCAGCTCAGCTGAATTACAGGAACGTACCAAGCGCTCCTGAGAAAACCACCACCACTCTGGAGAGCTGGGGGAGCTTTGGAGCATCTCCCACCCAGCACCGGCCTCTGCACTGAGATACAGGAGGTTCCTTTCCTCAGTGAGCAGCATGGATAATTACATTACCTACCCTCTTCAGCCTCAAGCACACTCTGTTTGTTACCTATGTGCTAAAGTCAAAGGCAAAGCAAAGGCCATGCCTGGCTGCCGGGAAGCACTCGCTACTCATCTTTTAAGTTCAGCTGAATCCTCTAGGTTACTTCTGTCAACATCAAGCACCGAGAACAAAGGCACAAGATTATGGGGATCTCATTAAGTATGCTTGTTCCAAGAACAAGAAATGGGTCTACTTTCCTCTGATGACCTGGGGAAACAAAAAAACCCTTCAGCACAGAAAATTTATTTGTCATCAGTTACGAGCATCTGAATGTGTAATATCCAGTTTAAGGAGACAAAAGAATCTGTCTGTCCTACCCTTTTCTATATCGAGACCTTGCAGAAAGCATCATTCTTCTGCTTGAAACAGAAAGCAGGGATGTACATATCTGAGAACACCAACACACACAAAAACCCCCAAATCCTTATGGTATTAAGTGAGCCATTTAACTAAGTATTTAAAACCTCTGCAATTATTAGTTTATTAGTATCATCCAGGATTTCAGATGTTCAATATTTCTCCTGAAGTTATACATAAATGCAAATTGAAATAAGAATCTGAAAGTCAAAATTGTATAACAAAACAATACTCCATCACAAAAGCGTGTAAAATTACAAGAATGCTTTTTTGTTTGTTTGTTTTTAAACACTGGCACTTAAGAGAACCATAATTTTGAAACCACAAAATTGCCGAATTGTCCCCCAAACTGGTAAGCAGGTATATGTGAAAATAGTTACAGCTGCCAGCACTTGAAGTTTTACTAAATATGCAAAAAACCCCTTAGCTTTGGTTTTGGAAGAGAACTGTATTTGACCAAATTAGACATTGTTGGTATAACCATAAACATTTAACTTTTTAATGCAAAATTTAATAAAATGTACTTTTCCATACAACTATATTTAACTTAAAAATGGGCAAACATCAAGAGTGCGGTATAAAACCTAACAGGAAAAATACATCTTATCTCATTTTCAATTTGAGACAATATACAACTTTGTTTAAAGGGCTAAAACTAGAATTTCAAGAATACAAATATGAATTTACATAGATTTAACAAATAATAATGGTACCATTTATAGAAATCTTAGAAAGAAAAATCATTTCTTGTGGGCCCTTTGCTACCAGGAGTCTCATGGTACAAAGCCCGTGGCCATCACCAGACCTGTCACCAAAAAATAATATGGTCATTTCATGCTTTTAACTTTACACATTTTAGGTACGCTCATCACTCCCAGGTGTTCAGAGATTTACAAATATAACTTCCATTACATGGTAACAGAGTCACACGTGTAAATTTCTCTACACCAGATGGACATACACTCTTCCTATGGGTCCTTCTAGGACAAAATTTAACATTCCCTCCCTCCCCACCCCCCAAAGTATTTAGTTTCTGTAAAATTGAACTTTATACTTCTCAACTCTCCAAGACTGGTAAACTCATGCAACGCAATAGAATATTACATTTCACAAAAATCTGAACAAGTATCCATTTGCTGAGATTGAATTTTTTGTTGTTTCCAGTTATGGAAGAATATTTTCATCATATGCCTATATATTTCTTTTCTTACCCTATCATGATAATGCAGGGTATGCAGATCAAAGCTTTGTTTATCAGCTGGTTATATGAAAGATGAAAACTGTAATATTCCCATGATCCCATACGGGCTTTCAATAAAGCAAAAGATGAGTTCCCCTCAAAAGAAAAAAAGAAAAAAAAAAAAAAAAGAGAGAAAAAAAAAGTATGATTCTCAAGGGCACCTATTAAAAGGACAACAATACTAATAAAAAAAATTGTATTTACTTAGAAGCATTCAGAATGTCAACAAAACAGCTGCAACTTTTTTTCTTCCTTTTTGCAATTACAGAGTGGTATTCAGTTAACAGAACAACAATTATTTTTATGATGCATCAGAGACAACTGAAGATGAGAAATTAACTACATCCCCAAATATAACTAAATTTGTGCTGTGCACCAACAAGAACCTGCTTTATAACTCCCATGCCAATTTACAACCCCCACACTGTACCAGGCAAGGTTAGTGGCCATTGAAATACCACTAAGGACAGGGCTATCTAAAGACACATTCGGTAGTGTGTTAACTATACAAAAAAAGAGACACTGTACAGTTTAAAAACAAATCTTACACAGCCTTACATTTCAATTTTTTTTTTCTTTAAAAGGAGTGAGTTGTGTACAGGGGGGTTAAATGCTTTATAGACAAGAAAGAAATTGCTCTAAAAGAGACTTATTCATCATCATCATCATCTTCATCCTCCTCTTCTTCCTCCTCTTCATCATCTTCATCCTCCTCATCTTCGTCCTCATCCTCCTCCTCTTCCTTCTTCTTCTTGCTCTTCTCAGCCTTGGCAACTACTTTCTTGCCTCCATCAACCTTCCCTTTGGCCCGGTATGCAGCAATATCCTTGGAGAAGAAAAGCAGGAATAATCTCTCAAAGATTTAACCAGCCAAGAGGTCTGAGCAATCTCCATAGAGCACTTGAGAAAGCAGTCACCCAGGCACCTGCTCTTCCCACTGGGATTGGACCAGGAGCTGTGGCTTCAGCTCCGAGGGGAACCAAAGCCAAAGAAACGGGAACTCTCTAGCACAGAGATTACACTGGCATGCTGCTACACACTGCTTATGGCTGCTAAGGGATCCCCACTGCTGGGCTTCGGGGAACAGGCTGGAAAAGCTGCTGCCTCTCATGGCAAAGGCAGAGCTGAGCCCACTATCCCACAAGGAAATGAAGTAGGGAGACCTCTTAAAGTCCCTTTCTAGCCCCACCTTCTACAGGGCCTAAAGAAACACACAGGAAAACCCTTGTTTGAGGCACAAACCGGGATTAGCCACTCAGAACACATCAGAATGACCCAGCCTAACAGCTGCAGTGTTACACCTCAGCAAAGAGCTGTTAGGCTAAACTCCACCTAAGAGAAGTTTACAAAATAAAAGGTAAAAGAAGAACTTGATTAAAGGGTAGACAGTGCCACCTTCTGCATGCAATACATTTATTCTAATCGTTTGAAACGCACAAAATTCAGTTCCTGCTACGGGGAAGTCAAAACCGTACCTGGAAGGCACAGTCATAAAAGCAGTTAAGACTTCCCAACTTTGTGCCAAAACAGCCAAACAATTAGGCAGAAGAATTGATCTACACAGCTTACACAAACTAGCTACAGAGAAACATCAACACATTTACACAGATGGTCCAAATCTTCCAATATTCCCCACCTAATAAACACTACACCACTAATCTTACTGTTCTCTTGGACTCCCTTAAAGCTTAGCAGGAAATTTTGAGATGATACCCACTAAGTCAAAGGCCAGGCAGTGAAATAGCTAAGATTACTACACCTTAAATTCCACATGCAAGTGTAAGAAATAAAGACACTACTACTGAAAATTAAAATAACATCTGTGAATAAAGATTAATAACTCTATAATTTATAAATGTCTGAGTTGCCCTGGCTGTGTGTACAAGCAATTACCATGAAGCTGTACAGAAAGCACCGTGTGGAAAAGCTCCTGGACCTGCGACTCCTCTCTGCCACATCAACACGGCTGCAAGGTTACATCTTGCACACTACAGTGCAAAAATTTTGAACTGGGATTTGTTTGCCAGCTGAAGCACCCAGAGGAAGGTGACAGCACCCAATGGACACAGGTGCTGTATGGCAGCTACAGGTGGTTGCTGACCCCTTGTGAAGCATCATCAGGTGATGATGCCAACGTGCATCCCCTCCTCTTCTCTTGGCCTCCATATTGGGCTGGGAATCTGCCTCTAGAAATAAAACCATGTGTTGCACAATCCTGTGTGCACAACGGAACCATACAGCTCCAATTATGATGGCAGGGTTTAGTGTTACCAATTTAAAAAATTGTATGACAAGCTGCTTCATATGCATAATTAACCAAATTCATTGCTAGAAAGGACGTGGACACAAAGTAGGTCCAGGAAAAAAACACATGCCTAAAACTAGCATCTCCTTTGTGTTTTGTCATTTTCCCAAGAATAAATTTTAAAAATCATCTACATGTATCAATTATCCTAACATTCAAGGATGCTCACCAGTATGTCCAAAATTAGGGAAAACCAATTAATTCCTTACCAGCATTACTTACTACTACCAACTCAACTCAAATTCTGCTGTGACCTATGGATTTACTAACGATACAGAACCCACTGTATTTATTAAAGCACCAGTGACAGCTCAAATTACAGACAAATGTAAAGGACTCAAATTTAGTGTTATGCCAATGAACCATTTGCCTCTTGTATACAACCTTTTTCAACAAATCTAATGAATTATGTCATGAGCATATTATAATTTGCAACATCAGGTATCAGGGTACACAATAAGGGAAAATCTGTCTAAACCAAAGCATCTCCCTAAAAGTCAGTGTTACCTTTTCATACTTCTCCTTCAGCTTAGCAGCCTTCTTTTCGTAAGGCTGTTTGTCATCTGCAGCGGTGTTGTTCCACATCTCTCCCAGTTTCTTTGCGACATCTCCAATGGACAGACCGGGATGTTCTCCTTTGATTTTTGGGCGAAACTCAGAGCAAAACAAGAAAAAAGCCGAACTACAGAGGAAAAATAAGAGAAGATTACTGAAATTTTAGACTTTGCTATAGGAGCAACTTTTGGGACCTTCGCATTTTGGAAAAAGCACCTGAAAGTGAGACAGACATTGACTACAATGGAAGGGATCAGAACTGAACGAGTCACTTTGCAAACTCAATGCACTCTTGTCTCTTAAATAATGCCGCACATCTGGTCCCATTTTGCCAGGATCCCCAGATAGGCAGATTTTATATACCAAACACAGAGAAAAGCTTTAGAAATTAAGAGTAAGTGAATGACACTAGGGCAGCAAACATTATATCGGAATTGTTAGAGGTGGGAGGCTGCAATATTTGTTGGCAAAGTAGGATTTCCAGACCACAGCACCAGCTGTAAAGGAATATTAGCTTGTCAAGGAACCTCCCTGCCCCTTTCAGCGTTAGCTCAGCTTAAAACACAGAAATACACACACAATAAAGTACTGGTGCCTAGGAGAAGATGAATTTGAAGCCAGTTGTCACTATGCCATGGCTAAAGCTTGAATCTTTCCAAGCTGGTTTTGAGGAAGATCACCCCTCCAACCTGTTCTGTGCAAAAGCCTCCAACTTTAAACGGACTGCCATTCAAAAATTCTCCTCAAGCCAACAGGTGGTGATGAGAGTAGGGCCTGCAGTACTTTACTGCCATACTACACTGGAATTACCCTCTTAACAAAAATTAGAAATATCAGTCAAAATCACACAGTCTATTTTTGCATCTACTTTTAAAGGCTGCCGTTCCTCCAACTTTGATAGTGGGACAGCCAACCTGAAAATAAAAGCTTAGCATTCATAACCAAAATTTCAACCTATCTTCACACCACTGGTGAGGAAGATCATATAATCTTGTATTTCTGAAGCTCCTGGATAAAACTACCATTTTATAGATACACACCAATGTGATGGTGCCAAACAAGACAACCTAAAACGCTAGGAATTTACTTACGGAGGCCTCTTCGGTGCATTTGGATCCTTGAACTTCTTTTTTGTTTCCCCCTTAGGTGGTACATAGTTTTTCATTTCTTTTTCATAACGAAGCTTGTCAGCCTTTGCCATATCTTCAAACTTCCCTTTCTCCTTAGAAGACATAGTCTGGAAGGCAATTAGAATCACAGAATACCTCAGAAGGGACACGTAAGGATCAAAACAGTATTTTAAGATTCAAAAACATACCGAAGAAGTCCATTCCAAAATTTCACTTGGGGGAGCCAGATGTAAGACAAGGACAATGGATAGTTACCACTCATCTTACAATTGCACTTCATACTTACCCAAAACCTGAGCTTCTAAAGAAACTATTTACCGTCTTGAATGGGATTTCACAAAAAGCAGTCACTTAAGGTTTTGTGGGGGTTTTTGTAAGCAGCTCTTCTTACCTTCCATCGTTCTGAGCATTTTTTTGAGAACTCTGAGAAGTTCACTGACGCATCTGGATGTTTCTTCTTGTGCTCCTCCCGACAGGTTTGCACAAAGAAGGCGTATGAAGACATTTTACCCCTCGGCTTCTTAGGATCACCTTTGCCCATTTTTGCTGATTTTCTGTAATGAAGCAAATGAGACACCTTTAAAACTTGTACTTTCCACAAACCAAGGCAGGAAGTAAGTCACAACCAAAGAAGACCTGCTAGAGCAGTATTCTGAAATAATGCAATGGGAAAAAGATTCCCTTCTGGAAAATTTACTGAAGACTTCTGTCATCCCTTTCTGAGGTGACCTGGATGCAAGCAACCTGAAATCTCAAAGGGCCTTTAAAACGTGCAGTTATGGTCTCCTGCAAACAAGAACTATCCTTCCAAGGAATCTGAAGGCCAGGGCTGCAGTGCAACCTGTACACCCCAATTACTACTGGTGTATTAATCATATGCTTGGGAAGAATAAACTCTATTGAAAGAATGGGGAAAGGATCCAAGTATCCTGTCTCAGTGGCCTTCTGGATTACTAATTTTCTTTTTACAGACCATGATTTCTACCTCATCCCTGTAGGCCCACGGTGCTTATTTAAAAGTACATTTTTTAATTATTTTCTGTGCCTTGTGTTATCAGCCATCTTTATGTGTACTGCAAAAGCCCACCCTTTGCAAGTATACCTCAAAACACAGGAATGAAATAGCTCATTTGGACAGATACGTTACAACCTACACAGGGAGAAGCACAACATTTATGTACAGCCAGTAGAGCTGTGCTCAGCAAGAGCACAATCTGACACTTTCAGGGACTGAAAAATACCTTCCTGGAACTTTCACACCCCAGTCAGACATTCAGAGTATTTCTTCATAGCTCCCTGGAAAAAGTCACTCGCACCCTGACAAGCTCTGCTTTTCAGCTCGAATTAAAAGAAGGGAAAAAAAAAAAAAAAAAAAAAGAGTGAAAGGGAAAAAAAAAAGGGCAGGCAGTGCCTGCCCGTATTGCCACAGAAGCTGTATTTCCTATCGGTTTGGCGGATAGACAGAAACAGATTTCTGCTCTGTGACTAAACACGTCCGGTTCGAAGTTTCTATCAAGTAAACAAGAGGGCTGAAGAAGCAGGAGCCGCTCCTGCCTGCCATGGAGACGCTCCCAGCGCAGCGGGCGCGGGGCTCTGCCGGGCCGGGGCAGTGCCCGCGGGGGCCGGCGGCTCTGGGGACGCGGGGCGGCCGCGGCCAGGGCTGTGCACCGCGACCCCGGCGCTGGCCTTTAAAAGCCTCCTCCTTCCCGCCATTTTGGACGCTTCCCCTATGAGGGGGGCAGACAGAGGGAAACTTCTCAAGTCCCTCAAGAGAGCTGCCGGGGGTGGGAGGGAAGGAAAAAAAGGAAAAGAAAAAAAAAAAAGGAGGAAAAAAAAAAAAACCCAGCAAGGAAAGAAAAAACTAGTCCCGTTATTAAGGAGAACGTGTAAGTTTTATTCCGCGTTCAGGCGAGGGCTCGCAGCGGCGAGCACATGCACAGGAGCAGGACACCCACCGGGGTGCGGCTGTCCGCAGGCGGCGACCCCCGGCCCCGGCGGGACAAAGCGTTCTCCCGCCGCCGCCCCCGTCCCGCCGCGGCGGGGGGGCCGCCCCCATGCCCAGCCCTGCCCGCTCCGGCCGCCATGAGGCGAGGCAGCCCCGGCCTGCGCTCCCTCCCTCCCTGCCGGCCGCGCCGCCGCAGCGGCGGTGTCGGCGGGAGCGGCCGCCATGGCGCAGGCTCCTGGCGGAGGAGGTCACCCGCCGCCGAGCCTCCTTCCATTTCGTGCGCCGAGGAGCAGAGCCGGCCGCTCCCCACCCCCCCGCCGCCACCACACCCCCCGCGGCCGGGCGGGGCGGCGAGCCCGGGCGGCGGGACCCCCGCCGAGAGGGGCCGCGGCGGGGCCGGGCGGCGCGACCCCCGCCCGCGGGGGCGGCGGCGGCGGCAGCGCAACCCGGGCGGCGCGGAATGGCCGCTGTGGCGTCGCCCGCTGCCGCCGCCGCGCAGAGAACATGGCTCCTTCCTCCCTTCCCTTCCCTTTGTGTGAGCGCGCCGCTACCCTGGCGCACACGCTCAGCCATTGCAGCCGGGGGAGGGCGGGCGGGAGACGGGGGGAGGTGGGTGGGAGCGGGGGGGAAGAAGATGGGGGAGACCAGCGCGCTTTCAGCGGCTGCCCAAGCCCCGGCGGCGCGGTAAAAGCCCCGGCGGGGACCCCCCCGCTCGCTCCCTCGCCCCTCCGAGCTGTGCGGCCCCGGGGCTGCCGGCCCCGCGCACGGGCGAGCGGCGGCTGCTGGAAAAAAAAAGTTCCCCCGAACTGCGCCCCCGCCCGCCCGAGCGCCTCCTCTGCTGCTCCGCGCCGCTCGCCTTGTTTTCTCGCTCGCGGCTGCCGTCAGCCATGTTACAGCCGGGCGGCCGCGGGGCCAGCGGCGCCCCGGCCCGCGCCCCGCTTCCCCGCGCTCCCCACCGCCCCGGCGGCTCGGCGCGGCCCGCCCGGAGCCCCCGCCGCCCCATCGCCCGCCCCGCCGCCGCGGCGATGGCTACGGCGAGGTACCGTGTAAGCGGCTTACAGCGGGGCACGGCGCGGCCCTCGCCCCCCGCGGCGGACGACCCCCGGCCGCTCGCCCGGCTCCCTTCGTCCGCCTCTCTCTCCCGACCTCGCTCCCTTGCCTCCCGCCGCCCCGCTCTCCCGAAGTCGCCCGCCGCCCCCGCCCCGCCCCGGCCGGGGGGCTCGCCGCCCGGGAAAGGGTCTCCCTGGCACAGCCCCGCTCGCCTTTGTGTACGGGCGTCCGAGCCGGCGCTGCCCCGCGCTCCGCGGTCATGCAGCGGCGGCGGCACGACGGCCACCACCGGCTCACCGCCCGGCTGCGAGCGGGCGAGCGGGCGGGCGAGCGAGCGAGCGGGCGAGCGCGCCCGGCCGGCCCAGGGGCCCCCGGCGCGTACTCACCCGTGTCAGACAGAGTCGGCACGCAGCCCTCGCTCGGCCCCGAGCCCCAGAGACGCTCCCGCGGCCGCCCGCCCGGCCCCAGCGCTGGCTGGGTCGCTGTGCAGCCCGGTGCACCGCAATGGCTGAGCGCGGGATCGATACGCAGCCTCCTCACACTCGCGGCGCTGGTAACATTACTCTCTGCACAGCCCCGCGCCCATTGGCCGCCGCCAAGCCGAGCGCCGCGCCGATTGGCCCAGGCGCTCCCATTGTCCTGACCAGAGCGCGCCGCGGGTTGGGCGCGCCGCGGGACACGTCACCGAGCAGGGAAAGGGCGCGCAAATATAAAAGTGAGCGCAGGGAGCCGGGCGGCGCCGGGGCCCGCACAGCGGCGGTGCCCGCCCGGGGCTGCGCTGCCGCCCGCGAGGGGCGCGGGCCCCGCCGCCCCCGCCGCCGCCTCCCCTGTCCCGGGAGGACCCCCGCGGCCGCCCCGCGGTGAGGAGCAGGGCGCCGCCGCCCTCCGCCCCTGCGGCCGCGCCGCCCGGGCTCGGGAGCCGGAGCTCAGCGGGGAGCCGAGCCGAGCCCGCGTGTCTCGGCTCCTCTCGCCCCGTTCCAGCCGGCGCACGGGGCTCCCCTCCGCTGCCGCGGCTGCGTGCGCGGCTCTGCCCCCTCACCGAGGCTGGGAGACGTTTGTTTTGTTTTGTTGATTCATGGGGTTTTTTGGGTTTTTTTCTTTCTTTTTCCAGAAATGGTTTAATCACCTGTATGAACAGCAGTCGGAAGATACCGGTTTTCTCCGTAACCTCCTGGGTGACGAGAAATAGTCCGCAGTGGTCAGGCAGCTCCTCCCGAGTTGTCAGCAGTGGTGCAGCGATGGCCCGGCGCCGTCCCGGGCATCGCGGGGCAGGGGCGCGCTGAGCCACACCTCACCTGTCATTCGCTGCTGCTCCTCTCTCTGCTTTTTTTACCGTCACTTGCACCGCACGAGGCTGCTGTACAGGACTAGCGAACAGGAGAAATACCCCTTAACATCGGCTTCGCTGTTCACACTGCTTTATTGGCCCAAACAACACTGGGAGGAGCGCTGCCGTGAAAAATCCAAAACCACTGCTCTGCCCCGAAAGGCAGTGTCAGCACACTTGCTGTAGTAACACAGTCTTGAGTGAAGAGAGGTCACAAATATTCGAGTGTAAATGGCTGATTGAGATAACTGATTAATTATCATGCTCTCTCAAAATCTATCGATGGAGTTTTGGAAGGGTCTGTGGTCTGACACAAGGGATAACAATTGTTTGGCAAGGCATGGTGCTTCATGATCCTTCCAAATAAGGACCCTAATTCTAAAACGGCCTCGTGTGTGAAGTGCTGGTGGACATATGAAAACAGTGATTCTGCTACCTGAAATCATACAAAAATACATGAATAATAAGGTACATGAGTGTTTCTGTCTCAATGAAAGATTGTGTGTGGGGTTTTTTCTGATTTGCAGTTAAAGTTTAAACCTTAATATGCAACAGAAGAAAACGGTAAAAATCACTAGTATTTATGTGGTGTAGTGTGCAGAAGCTGATAGCTTTGCACATACTGAACTTTAAGGTTTCTTCTGTGAAAACCAGACCTGAAAGGAAAGCAAAGTAATGCTTTTATTTCTTGCTCTTGTCTAGAGCTGAGCCTTCAGTAAAAGGCAAGTGAGAAGAATTTGGTTACAAGACATATCCCGCTAAGGGTTTTCCTTCATCTCTGTTAGTTAGATGCTCAGGCCTGTACAGGTTTGCATATTCCAGTGGGTTTCTTCTGCAGTCCTTGATGACAGAAATACAAAAGAATTTACTCATCAGTTGCAGACAGTAGCATTTTTTACGGAAGCAATATATGTTTCTTCTCTCGTTCACACTGTGCCACATCCCTTCTGATACTTCACAACCATGCCTTCTTCTGCAAACCTCATTGAAGTTCAAATCTGTTTTAAATTACACTCCACTAGACAGGTGCAGTCACTGAGATCACTTGAATAACACAAAACACCTTTGACTTCTTGCACATAAGCTTTGCCTACAGAACATTCGGGTTACAATAGCCCAGTACAACTGCTCCAGGAAAAAAAATATGTAGCTGCAGAGGAAGTTTCAAAACCCCTGTTTAGTAATTTTGGTGTTTTGCAAACTAGGATATATATTGGGAAAAGACACACAGATTGGCTGTCATATTGCAAAGCAAGAGTAAAACTAGGATTTCTATTAGATATGTGTTTTCAAATACTTCAGTTTTTTGGGTACCCATTGTAGAGACTCACTTGGAAACCAGTAGAAATCTTTGTAAGGAGCCTTTTGGATCAACTCCTTTTCCACACATGGCAAGCTGAACTTTAATGGAAACATCAGCTCTACATTATCAACCTTTTTTTTAAAGCATCCTTTTGTTCTCCAGGTTTTTTTTGGAGGTAGCAGAGGAAGACCTCTCCAAAGACAAAACCGTTCTTAACAATGTATTGCTGCGCAGAAACAGAGAAGTTCCAACTGAATGACAAAAAAAGTTTTATTAAAGTTTACCTCTCACTTCCTATCATCCCCTGCTTAGCTCACAACCAAAGACTAATAGCAAACACAAACAAGGATGGAGAATTCCAACAAGTACAGACTACCTGGTTGGCAGTGGAGCCTGACTGAGGGATTCAGAGATCTCATTCTCCCCCATTCCCAAATAACTGTGAAACACATTGGTGACAGTACTCCAGCAGAATTTTTGATGAAGCCACAGTATATAAAGAACCTTAGAAAGCTTCTGCTCACTTTAGTGATGTGCTTGCTGACAGAGGTGGGAAAACACACTTGCATCAATTCCAGAAGTCACAGGGTATGGAGCAGCACACCTCCCATGGGACAGGAACGTGCTTCTTCCATGCCCCATCTTTTCCTGCAAAATGTGTGTTCTGTGAAAGACACTGCTTACTCCTCAGTGGGATATGGCAGGAAAGCAGATGATTTCACAGCTTGCCTTGACAACAAAGAGATTCAGTGTCGTCACAGGGCTTCCAGAGTTTGTCACTTTGTCCTCCCTCTCAAGGAATGATATCACTGTTTCTTTGGGTCAAAAGTACTAGATTATTACTATGAAAACTGCATAGTAACAACTAGCTTGTCACTCAAATCCAAAGCTACTATTAGGCTATTTTTAACAAGATCTGAAAGCCTTTCTCAACAAAAAAGTTACATTTTCAGCTCAAAACGAGAGCAAAACATCTGTGGAGACAGGGCACCTGGGTACATGTACTTCTGATGGAGCTGCTGGTAATGTAGATTGTCACTGTTGCTTTTGAACACTCCCATCCCTACAGAAGGCAGGGTTTTCACAGCACAATTGAAAAAAAAGGGCCATAACTGCCCTTTTCCTGAGGCTGCAGTGCCAGTCTATGCACAGCCCAGATGAACACAATTCTCAGTTGCTTATTAGATGCAGATTTGCAGCCAATCTTTTGCTTTGGTGTCTTATTTGAAATCTTCAGGAGATACACTTTAAATATTTCCATAAAATCACTTCTGGAGGAGAAAGTTTTGGTTCAAAGGAATGAGAATCAGTATGTCTGCAAACAGTACCACTGATTTGCTTTACCTTTCTCTCTGGACTTGCTCACATTTCATCAAGTAATCTGGGGAGGCTGCTGTCCCTCCTCTATCAGTGAGCAGGGTTTCAAGTGGCTTTTTGTCCACTCCCCACGGATAAGTGGCTGGCTGACCCAGGTGTGTAAGGGCTAACTGTGGAGCAGTGGCAGACAGGCAAGGAAACCTCAGCTGAATAAAGGCAGCGGGTCTGGGAGAGGCAGGCAGGGAGCAGGGACGGCGCCAGTGCCGCTGCAGCATTTTCCTCGCCAAGCTTCACGTGCGAACCAGCTGATTTTTGTTGACATGTGAGCCCTGAAGACAATTCCATCGTTTCTAGAGCTGATACATTCCTAAATCAGGGTCAGTAGTTACATAGAGCTTTTATCCACAAATTGGGTAAAATGAAAATTTGTAGAATTAGCAGATATTAGCAGATGTATGGAAAAGTATTAAGTAAGTAGATTCTCATAGCAAAAACATATACCCACAATGTTCATCTCAGAAAGTTGGTGAAGATACATCAGTATGGACTTTTCCTCTGATGATCAGTATACCATGAACATTTTTTAAAGTGAATATGTGTACAGAAAGTAACCATTTTATGGTAAGATTAATAGATTTACTCTTATGAAATATGATTCCTTCAGCATCTTATTCCTTATGCATAAGTACGTAACTTCTTTAAGTGCCTCTTTGAAGCTCTCAGTGTGCAGTTTCAGACAGATGGAACTGTGTTCAGCTTCAACAGCAAAAAGGAGTTCAAAAAATGTTCTTTCAGGACTGCACTATTTCTGAAATCGCTGACCTGCTGAGATACTTGCTTTGCTGAGAACACAACATGCAGTGCAACATCCACTTATCTCTTCAACTTTCTGGAAACATGGCATCAAATATTCAGTCCCCTCCAAAATCTCCAGATCATTTATGTATTGTACACTCAAGCCTACCACTGAGGTAAGAGTTATCAGCTGCTTCTAATAAACCCAAAATGCTGCTGTCCATCTTCACAGACACTGCTCTAAAGGTGTCAGTACTCTGTCTCCCTCACTCCTGTCTAGAGGCAGGGAAGCTTCTGATGCTGACACCACTGTTAGACTTCTACACCTGAACAGGCAGAATACAGCCAGGCCTAAGGTGGTGAACGAAAAAATACCTGAGCTGCCCTTCCTTCCTATTTTATCCAGCCCAGAAGATTCAACAGGACATGCTCTCTCACAGGCAGGACTCCTTTAGACAGACCTCGATGCTCCATGTCAAACTGGAAAGATTCCCAGAGCTAGGTACAGTCCTGGGACAGAGCTACTACTTCCTTATCTACATGTTTTCTGAAAATACACTACATATAAACATCACCTGACCTGTACTCTGCTTCAGGATATGAAGATGACACCTTAACGCCAACACAGTTCCTGATATTAGAAATCCTAGTACACTCTTATTTCCACAAACCAAAAAATTAATGTGAATTTATGGGATGCTGATATCCAAAGAAACAGGATGCAGCACACATCACTCTATCTAGTAACTACCCAGGACATACTGTGAATGTAGACTGCATACAAGCAGTTACAGGAACTGCTGGAGGAAACAACCATTTGCTCACAGCTTCAAAAGGGGAACTTG